TAGATATGGAAAAGCATCTATTTGTAGTGCCGTTATCTACAGACATCAAACATCTTTCACACAGTTATACTGGCTGTACGAGTGATGGCTGAGGCACGGTGCCTGGGCTGAGCATGGCGAAAAGGTCACACTGTCACAGCACGGCATTTGGCGGGGGACGAGCGCAGCCCTGACAGGCTGGAGTGGCCTTTCTCTGTGGCGGCAGGAGGAAATGGATAAGATCGACCTGGACCCTGATCTGAAGCAGAGAGAGCCCATGATCGGCCCTCATGTAAGAACCGTGATGTGGCGGAGGGGGTGCAGGAAAGGGGAGGGGAATAGAGCATTGTGGGTAAGCTGGGGAAGGCCAAAGTGATGATGAAGCTAGCTGAGGGCAGGACAGACTGTAGAAGCCAAAACTTACCTCTAAGCCTAGCACTAACCGTAATATTAACTAAACCATAACCGTAAAGCTACCAGCCCAAACTTTCATTTTAACCCTAACCCTAACGCTAATGTCAAACCTAACTGTCTTAAGCCTAATCCAAATGGTGTACAGCAACATTACCCAGTGCTATATTGGATAAGATGGATGGATGGATGGATGGGTGGGATTGATTTATCAAATACCAAATATTAATACTGGGCAATAAAAGGGTGAGATATTGCCGACTGTGACAGGAGAGTATGTCAGTGTCCTGCCTCCGTATGAATTTCCTCTGGTTTGTCTATAACCCTTTTTCCCACACTTGGAGTTTTTATACTGCAGGTTAAATGCGCCATGTCTGTTGGTTCATTATTTTTGCTTTTCATGCACCAGCCCGAAGCGCTGCGCTCAGAAACGATCGCATCTGAAGGCTGTCGAGGAGTCCTGCGACTTCCCGGACCATCCATGCGTTCAGACAGAGCTGGCATGGGGCGGGGGTTGGGGGGGGAGGGGGGCAGGACACTGAGCCACTGTTTCTGAAATGTCACCTCGAAGGTACCTGGGGGGCGCAGGGAGCGCCTCTGTATTTTTAGCAACCCGAGTCGCTCGTGTGCGACTTTAATTTGTGTCCGGGAATGATAGCAGCCGCAGTCTGGGAAGGTGTGTGGAAAACCGTCCGTGCAGAGACCCTTCCGGAACGCCGTCACCGAACGGAGGCGAAAACACGCACTGCCACCCTGCGGCCTTTTCCTAGCCTACTCCGTTACTGCCGGTCCGCCGCCGGCCTCACGCAGCTGCAGATTTTCCAGCGCTGCTCGATTTGGTACAGCATCATTTCCTGCGTGAGAGTCCCGGCACGCTGCAGGTATTAAATTAGAGACTGGGTGTCAGAGGTCATTCCGGGCTGCTGCTACATTTAGCTGCTTAGCCGTGTGACAGTGGGCGGGGCGTCTCCCGGGACGGCCGCCGTTGGATTCCTGGTGCCCGCCTCCCCGCACCCCGCCGGTGCTTGTTTACCCCCCCCCCACACCACCCTGGGAGTAACAGCATTGTCCTTTCATTATTGCATAATAGTCATGTGACATCCACCTGCAACAAAGTATAATTTGCTCCTAAACAATATTTTTAAGAACACACGTGCATTTTTTTTTTATGATGGTATTTTAATCACCGTTGTACATGCACAGATACTTTAGGAGTTATTTGGTTTTTGCATATCACATGACTGTATCTGAATGAAGCGTGGGGTAAGACATTTTTCTGGTGCCTCTGAAGCAGGTCGGGAAAAGGTCCTTGCTGAACAAGCCAAGAGTGATATGATTACTCTGCCGGTCATGAGATTCAAACCGGCGACCTTCTGGGCACAGTCACCAGGGCGCCGACTCCTAACCGGAATTCAAGCACGACTGCATTTGCATTATTTTTCAGTTTCTACCATAGGACTCGAGGTATTTCTACCTGCACATTGATCTGCATGAGTGACAGATGTGGTTTCACCTTTTGTGCACATTCACCTGACTGGACTCAGGACAGGAGGTTTTTCCGAAGGTTCTGGTGCTTGCTGAGTCTCTCACTTTATTTTTATTGCACACACACATACACGGACACACACACATACACGGACACACACACATACACAGACAAACACACAATCCCAGGGTCAATCTCTCTTGATATCTCAGTTTGGCGTTATTTTTTACAGTTTATTGAGCTCTCGTGACCCCCACACCCCCACACCCCCCTGTCCGGCTCCTGGCCTGTCGTTTTACAGATTGCTTCCTAAGTTTCCAACGGATGTTGTTTCCTCTCTCACTCGATACATTTTTCTTGGCTTCAGCTACCAAACTGCTTGTTCTTTATCAGCAAGACATGAAACCGGTGGATGCTTGTTCTTTTCTGTCCCGAAACTAAACCAATACAGGAAGACCCAGTCATGGCAAAATGAAGGAGACATCGACAGTGACATACGCAAATGCTGTCATGTCTGCGTGACAACGAACAAGAGCAGAACCGTTATCAGAACCGGGCTAATTCCCTCAGTCCTTTATCCGAGACGGATGCTGACAGTTAACAAGCTCTTCGATTTTATGCATCTGGCCTTACCTGCCGAAGCCCTTGTCGCTCTTTCTCTCACCAGTTATTGTTCCAGCGTTTCAGGTTGAATGCCTTTCTGAAAGGTACAGCAGTGAGGTCCTGGGGGGGCGGCGAGCTTCGACAGGGTCAGCCTCACTAACCGCCGCCTCCAGTGCGGCCGTCTCTTTATCACGTCACCGTTCAAATTGCATTTCACGGCCGAACGAGCAGCAGCCGCTTCGGGAGGGAAGCCTCTGGTTAGGAAGGTGACGGGCCGAGGGACGGGCAGCGGCTTGTTTGGTTTGCGCTTAACCGAACACGCCGATGGGGGCGGGGGGGGTGGTATGCGATGCGCCCGTTTAACACAAACTCATTTTCGGACACCGGTCCCCCCACGCGGTTCAGGAAATTCAATTGACATTGATAGAATTCTTAATGGGCTCTGGGAAATCGATGACCCCTGTTTTATATTCACAAGGCGGCCGTCGCCGGGAGGGGGGGGGGCTATACGTGGACATCGAGTAGCTTGAAATCAATCAACCCCCGCAGCAGGCGATTGGGCGGGGGGGGGGGTCATTTCCAGCAAGCGGTGATATGTTTTTTGAGAGAAACTTAACCCAAAATTTGAGAATAGAGGGTTACAGCAGAAGAAATATATCAGGGTAATGTGGAGTCATGGAGGATGAATGGGCAGCCATTACTGTGATGTAGGAGCAGTTTAGGGGCCTTTGGGGGTGTGGGGGGGCGGACATGTGCGCCCTTCCAAGTCCGCTAGCGTCGGCGCTAGGATCCCGACTCCTCCTCCATACCCCAGGCGTATGTGCAACATGAATAAGTCAGGGGGACGGAAAAGTCCGGCAACACGCTACCATCTGGCGAAATGGCTCTCCGCTTTGTGACCGGGGGGGTACAAAGTAGCAGGTATAACAGCCCGTGCACCCCTCCCCTTGCTGCAAGGTCATCCCGCTTCTCGGGGGCACTCTGTCTGGGGGGGGGGGGGGGGGTGGTCCCTGTAAGCACGCTCAGGCCAAGCACGTCTCCCAGCCAGGGACCGTCACACACTGGGGACCGTCACACACTGTAGGGACACCAGTCCTCCTAGCTGCCTGCTTTTGGGTTGGGGGAGGGAGCCAGAACCCAGGAGCGACTGAGCAACATTCTCTCGGTCCTCTCCGGACACTATGATGAGGCGCTGGGATCGTTCATGTCCCCCTTGGACCCATAGAGTCTCCTTTCATTCTGTTTTGACTGTCTGCCCCATTGGTGTGACACACAGGTCAGCTCTGAAACCATTAAAGCTTCCCTGTCTCTTCATCATTCGCTTATTTCAAGCTGAATTCTTCATAGATACATACTGTGGACCTGCACCATGGTTTTTATTTGCTTGCACTTTCTCTTCATTCTAATTGGATGCTTTTTGGTGCCCCCCTTGCACCCAGACCCCAGCCTCCCCGAGTGGTGAGCCTGTGTCCTCCCAGCCTGCCTCCTCTCCAGGCCGCTGAGTCTTCGCTCCGTAGTGCAGGAAGCGTGTAAATCCATCTCCTCGGCGGCGCCGCCGCGCGCGGCCGTCTGCTGCAATCCGGCACGGCCTCCGCACAACGGTCACGCTGCTTTGTTTACACGGAGACTCAAGTGCCGCGAATTCGGCCCATCGTGGTGAATTTTCCAGCATCCCCAGCAGCCACTCTGTAATATTCTTTCACCACACATTCGAAAAACCAAATGAAAATAGCATTAAGGAAACTCCCAGCCCGACACTAGACGCTGACTGTGGCCCCGACCCCTGTGGAGTCGTGATCTTTTATGCAGCGTCTCCAGGAAGTGGTAATGAAGCTGTAACACTCTTAATTGGCCCATATCACAGAGTCCTGAGGGTTTGCTTATAGGATTGACGCCTAATAAACAGCTTGTCTTTGGGATAATGGCCTGTCGAGATTTATCTAAAACAACGGCAGCTTTGTCTCTGCAAATTCACATGATCCCCGCATCATTGTTACTAGGGGCGCCGTCCCTAACGTACAGGGTCTTGCCCCCCGGTCGAGCTCGACAGCCCCACTGTCAGATGCACTACAGCAGGCAGGCATCCTGGGGGACGAGCAGCGTCGAGGACCCAGTGTGAGCAGGATTACCCGGAAAGTAATGAACCGTGCGCGACATTAAACCACCCTTGCCTCCCGGATATGTGTGGGGTTTCATTTTGCCTCATTTCCCTCCGACGCTCGTGCATTAGGCCAATCTGTGCTTGTCGTAGACGGTTTTCAAGGCTCAGTTTAAGAGCGGTCTAAATCCCTAAGCCTTATCCCCACCAGCCAATGTGCTTCGCTGTGATAACAGGCAGAACAAGCACGGAGCTGGCGGTCTTACGCCAGAGAAACGCACAACTTCCACATGAGCTAAATCCGCCTTAGCAAATGCACCAGCTCGGCCGTCTGGACTGCAGCGGCAGCAACGCGGGAAACTGCATGCGATGACACACGACAAGCTCCAAAGTAAGCAGAATGGCTACGTCTCATTGGTCATCGTTTTTTAATAGTGCCTCTTATTGGTCAGCAGAATGTTAGGATCATCCTCTCAGTCATGGAATAGCAATGACAAGCGCTTTTTTAATGAGGGCGAACATTAATGTATTTACAGTAGCTGCTTTGTCATAGCCATATGTGTGTTATGCTGCTGAGATTAAACAGGAAAGTGTTTACGCACCATAAACGTTGATTTTTTGCAGAAAGTCAGGCTTAAGTTTTCAGACGGACTCTTTGTGATGGTTGACTTCATTGCCATTGAGTCACAGAAAAGACCCATTTAATTGCTGTGCTACTAGGCGCACAAAGTATCTTGTATGTTCTTAATAAAGCTGGATACTTTCCTGATGCAGTTCGAGTCAAGGATACAATGTCAGGGCCTCCCCTTGGACTTCAGTGAGTAGCCTTCAGGCTAACTATGCTACTAGTTGGAAGGCAGGATTATTGTTTGTGTCTGAAATATGAAATTGTTTTGCATTATCCTGGTACTGTCCATTGGTCTTTCAGTAACAGCACAAACACACAGTCTATCCCAGGAATCGTAATGTGGGGCCATTTGAGGTTGCAGTTCCTTGCGTGTGCCTGGAGATCCTGCAGAAATGACACTGTCAAAGGGTGGCCTTTGTCTAAGGAGCTCATCCGGCACTCATCACTGTTGATATCTGTGTGTAGTAGATTAACATGACGTACTGTATGACCACCGTTCATCTATGTATATGGCAAGTCCAGGCTTTAATAAAAATGCTATTAAGACATTGGTTAGTATAAGGTTAGAGGTGGGTATCCAGAATAACCTGAACTGTGGGAAGGTGAGGGGAAGCGTCTCGTTTTCCTCCATGCTTGTTGTCATTCTTAGGCGTCCCCTCGTCATTCGCGGCCTCCTCCTGCTCCCCTAGCTCCTCTGTGGACCTGTACTGGCATCGCCTTCGCAGTCACCGAGGGCTAATCCAGGCCACCCCCCCACCCCCCCCAAAGATCCTGACTCCTGGATGAAGCAGATCCGGCCCTTGGGATTCATGCATGGCTACCACCTGCCACTTTCCTGTAAGTGTCGTACTCTCAGTCACAGAATCAGCATGTAGCGGAGAGTAAACAGGAACGAGGCCTCATAAGGCTCTGTCAGCGGCGGATGAATTTATCACCGAGACTCAGCTTATTGTGCAATTTATCATTTTCACAGTGTAATATATTTCATGTATAAATAACTAATGGCAGTGTGTTGGTGTGTGCAGGGACAGATACTGACAGATAGAGAGCGTTTCTGTGAGGACACCTCCACCATCGCCATTCCTGCAGGGACAGGGCGTGGCACTTTCAGAAGGTCTCTTCTCCCACCCTATAATGAAACCGTAAGACTTTTACAAAAAGGAAGTACTGTTCAAAAGAAACACAAATTAATGTGTGTGTGTGTACCTGTGTGTGTCTGTGTGTCTGTGTGCATGGGATGCTACTCCATTGTGTGTCTGATCAAATTTTAATACTCCATTTAGAATAAGGCGGATGCCTGAGGTGTCAAGATTTGCCAAAAGGAGCTTAACATTTTACTTTCTAATTCATTCATTAAACATTCATTTGTGGTTTTCTAAACTAAACACATTCTTCCCGGCACTGTGGCCTCTTCTCACAATGCAAAAGTTTTCCTGGGCTTGACCTGCCCTAGGAAGTTCCAGTATCATGTTTTCGGGACGTGTGCCTGCATACAGTATGTGGATGGGTGTTAAGGCCACTGTAACGATCGTTCATGAGACATGTGACAATTCCATCTCAGAAGAGAGACTTGGTCCCTAGGTAGATTAGGAACATCTCTAATAGTCACCTCAGCCCTGGTCCGTCTCAGAGAGGCTCTTGTTTTCCGCCCCACATCATTGTTTACGCTCCACTCGCCGTCCTCCGCTGTGACGTCTCTCGCTGTGCACATACGATACGCTCGGCCATTAAGTCTAATGAGCTTGCTGGCAGAATCATTAGTTCTGCCGGCTGCACTTTGGTGTCGCGGGTGTTTACCGTCCTGGCAAGGGAGAAGCCCCTTAGACAGGAGCGGGTGATGCCGTCTGCTGGGCTTCATGCCTGGTGGGGGTGGGAACCACCCCAAGCCTCAGGCCCCTCTGTCCATAAATGATCCTATTATGATGGTCCTATCCGTGTCTGGGGTACCGTCCACTGGCCTGACTGGACAGCCAAACACATGAAGTGAGTGTGCTAGGCTAAGCGCACACACGCACACGCACACACACACACACACGCACACACACAGATACGTTTATATTCATATCTTGGGGACCACCTATTCATTTCTATGGGCATAACCCTAATGTCAACAATGACCCCATTAACCCCTACCCATCCCTAACCTTAAACACAAGAAACCAAACGAAATGCAGGACATTTTTAGTTTCATGATTGCATTCACAAAGTTTTTATAAAATTTAGGCTATCCTTTTGGGGACAGAAAAAATATCAGTCGAAGTAACAGGTTTAAGTCAAATAAGTCAAAATAACAGGTTTTTTATCACATTATGGGGATCAAATGTCCCCACAATGTATTGTATACATGACCACACACATATAATGTAGTGAGGTGATTATGTCTCATCATGTTTGACGGACTTTCAGATGGTCACCCATTTGTGTCCACTGTGGAAGCCTGAATTTTATTCACTTGTTCCACAATAAACTGCATATAATTACAAGTTTTCTATAAGTGTGTCATTTATCACTAACAACAAATATTTCATGGTTTAATAATATTACTTTTGGACAAACATATTACCCTCGTTCCATAAATTTTATATTCGCACTATAATTTGAATAATTTAGGCTGTATTTTGTATTCTGGGTTACCCTCAGTCTGTATGGGTCAGTCACCTTGTTTACTGCAGACTTCTCCTGAGTCTGGAGTAATGGAGGCTGGACAGGCGCAGGCTGCTAATAGATGAGCTTCTCTGCCACTCGGCTGGATTAAACAGATTAAACATTTACCAGTGACCTGTTGGACTGGTACTCTCTGCTCCTCTGTGTGCTCCTCCATGCTCTCCTGCGTGCACCGCTCACTGCACTCCTCCGCCACCGGACTGCTGGTCCCCCCCCCCCCCCCCGCTGGCCTAGTTCCTCCTCAGAGCTGGAATCGGCCTCCCACCTCCCTCACTGCCATTAGTCACCGGCTCGATCTCTCGTGGGAGTATCAGAGATTTCGGGCGCGGGGGCTAAATTGGGCATAGATTTTGACTGGGATCCCATTAGCTGCTACAGACTCAATTGCTTTCCTGTATCTTTAAGTTGTCCAGCGTGACCCCAGCTCTGGTATATTGATCTGTTTCATTGTTCTGTAGATTTCTATCTAGTTTGTTGCTGAATCAGTCATTCTGTAGCTGCAGGAAAGCTCCTGGAACGTCTTTATTCTGCAATTGAGCGGTTCACCTGGGCCCCTGCTTAAACTTTAACTTGTTTTCAATCGCATTTCTCTCCCCGGCGTTGCACTGAAAATGCTAAAAGCACTATAGCAGCTTTATTGCTATATGCTATATGCTATATGCGCAGCGGTGCAGTCGAGTGGAACTGCGGCATCGTGGGGGTCACCAATCAGGATGCTTCTGGTTAACATCCAAGGCCAGTGATGCAACTGTGGGTTTTGTCATGGTCTGAAATGCAGGGATCGTTTCATAGAGGGGGTCCTCCCCTGTCCCTCTGAGTACTGCGGCTTCAGCTGCTGGGTTTGTCACTTAGCTGAGGTGTGAATGATACCCCCCACACACACACACACACACAGACACTGAGGTTCAACTTGCAAGATTCTCCATATTGTGTGAGTGACTCTCCTTCCTCTGGTGTCCCTATATCCTGGGTGGTCCAGAGAGGTGGGGATGTGAGACGGTTCATCCGCCCCAACCTTGCGGTCTGTGTCCTCCGGCTCGGCCTCCTCATAGGCCCTTTCCCCACCTCATCTCGCCTCCTCCGGAGGAGCTCCACGGTGTAATCAGGGTGGGCTAATGGCGTGCAGGGAGCCTGCTGGTCGGCTTCCCGCTGAAGCGTTTTTCGGAGAAAAACACAAGCTGGAAATAAGGACCACATAGAGGTTCCTATTCAGATGAATCCTTATCCATTTATTAAAATCATTACTACATACATCAAGACCCATTTCCTATGACCTTCTCCATTTTGTATCAGACATCTGTCCAGACACAGCCAACTTTAGGAGGCTAAAAGAGTCTGTATCGTTCTTTTTATTTCATGGTCAGGAGGAAAAAAAATGTACCTGCAACACAATTTATCCTGCTGTGTCATTGCGAAAGCTGATTGTCTTCTGCTTGGAAAACATGGCATAGAAATATCTCTCAGTAGAAGTAGCAGCAAACTATAAGAATGAAATATAAATGATTGTGATTTTACACAATCGAGTTTCCTTCATTCAAATGTGACAAAGGACTATCAATCAGTAAGGCAGCCCGAACTCGTAAATTATCGTCATTGAGCTGTCTCCCTCCTGAATCTCCTTATTTTTCAAGAAGAATGTGTTTAAGAGCTGAGATTGATCTCTGCAGCAGTGAGGCGAGTATCTGGCCCATAGCTGGGCAGGTGGGAGCGATGGTGCCACCCGCCATATGGCCGTCACATGCAGTGATCCGGTTAGAGTCCATCTCAGGAGAACATCCCCTCTTCTCCGGCCCAAAACACACAAAGAAAACAGTGAAAGAGAGATGCAAATCCACGCCATGTTTTTAGCCTTCCCTATAAAGCCTCATTTGACTTCTCATATTTCTCTGCTAAATCAGCACTACCTCCTGTGGCCGGTCGCAACTCAGAAGGGCTTAATAGCCATTCATCATGCGCCACATAAAATATTCCACATCGGAGGACTGGGAAGTACCTAAGCGAGATTTTCCCAAAGCGGATCTCCGAGCGTATACTGTCGCTGGGGCAGCCACTCGTTCAAAGATTAAGCTATTTATGTATGACTTCATAAATATTACATTTTTTGATTTCCAAGCTGTGCTTAACCTCATTTTCCAGACTCTTTTATTGATTGACAAGGGGTGGTTTTAAATACTGGGTCCTGATCTTCCCAGAATACTTTAAGATTTGGTCCCAAATCATCAAGTGCAATATTTGTATTTGTAACTTCAATGAGTTCTAGTTTGATTTCTTTAAACTAGACCCAAATCTGTACCCAGATGTCCTAGGGGCAAGCACGATGTGCCAATATTGCCCCCCCACCCTTCCCCCCACAGTAGTGATGTAATGAGGACGAGTGATGTGTATAAATATTTCATTTGGCTGTGATGCAGGGGATGGAAAGAGGCAGGCCCCATCCTGGGCTTCGGCGCGGGAGACTAAGAGAGAGGATATCCAATTAATCGCACACTGATATTTAATTTCACTCTCATACACTCTGCGGTGGTCCTGCTCCCATATACGTCACCCAGGGTTCTCTTTTGTCACCCTATGATACCGGACGCCACGGACCTGGTGACCTTGCCCGATCATTTCCCTTTCTCAGTCGCTGCGCGCCCCGCGATACGTACAAAACACTAACACCTGATTGGACACGTGAGGGTCCATGATCCCTGCCAGGAAAAGGAGGTGAGGCACCCACCGCCGCCCCCGGCATTGCGGGAGCAGATGGTTCCTAATATGGCCAGCAGGTGACGCCGGAGTGGGCCACGGCAATCTATAGGGAGGCCCGGAAGGGGTTAAAGAGGCATCTCGGGGCGTCAGCTGTTAAAACAGGGGGCCGCAGACACGTGTGAGACCGGCCAGTATGGTGTGAGGCGCTGCCCCTCCTCCTCCGCCCCCTCCTCTTTCCCATCAGAAGGTATGACCTATTTATTTCACTGGTCTGCCGCATCCTTCTGTTGAGGTTTACCACCCTCTTCACGTCTTCAATCCACCCCCCCCCCCCCATGCCTGTCATGAGAGGAGTCGTCCCTGCAATTGGCAGGGGGGCTGTGTAAGCAGTATAACCACGACCGTTCCCTTACCCCATCCAATCTGCGTAACCACATTATTAAAGACGACGACCAGTACTCTCTGTGAGACATGCATATCTCCCATCTGCGGGTTTCGGAAAGCCATATGGGTGGCCATTATGAGGTCAAAGGTCAGCCGGCATCCGTCAGCTGTTTTTCTTGGCTATCTTGGAGGAATCTTTCAAAGGAAAACATCTCAGGGCCTGATCGAGTGGGAACAGGTGGTCCTGAACACGTGCCACACCATGGCATGGTTTTAAGAAGCTGGTTCTTTTATTAATCCTCAGTACGTTCAGTATTGGCCAGTGATATTTCATCTATATTCCGTGCCAAAAAATAGGGGAACTGCATGATCCAAAACACGCAAATGGCTCTATGGCCAAAAATATCATGAAAATATGCATTTGACACAGATGCGCACTAGGTGAGGTAAAATGACAAACATATCAGCATTTTTAGGTGCTGTAATCGGGGCTTATTCCATAGTAGACCCTAAAAACAGTAGACAGAAGCTGACGCAGGACTTCAGTCTGTATTTATGGTGAAATCACATGTAGATGTCAGAGCAGCTGCCTTTCAGGTGCTCGAGCTGCAGCGCAGAACCACACTTCACACAGACAAACACGGTATGGACATTATAAAAACCCACCGGCTCCTACTTTCCGTTCTGTTTTCAGATATCTTGCTACCAGTATTAAATTCACACGCCAAACTGGCACGTTCACAGGAGGGCGCCTGTTAGGCCCCCATTGTCATTTTGGGGCTTTGATCCCGCGGGGATAAAGGCGCTATATAAAGAGCCCTCCTTCCTGGCTGCTCACCGCGGCCTCAGTCATGTTTGCCGTCGTCATCCTCAAAGGCCAAAGTATCAGATGTCATAACTAGAGAGCACCAGCGAATCGGAGGGTATCCTAAGCAGAGTAAAGCAACGAACTCATTTAAATGAAAAATAATTTTATATTCCTTCCACTATTTTATGTCCTGGTATTACACACTGTCCAGGAAATACTTCTTGCATAATATTTCATGCATGCATTCTTTGAGCAAATATATCGGCTATTAAGTAATGAAAAAATAACTGATATATGTAGACTGGAAGGTGCCATAAACAAAAAATAAATGTAAAATTTAAAAAAATAATAATAACGGCTGACAAGAATAGCATATAGATTAATCAAGCAGCAAATCTGAGCTGTTAATTAAATTAGCTTTCACTGGATTCCAGGTACCATAGCCCTTTATTTACAATGAACTGTGGTTTTGTGCTTCAAAATGTGTAAATATATAAATGCATTGATCCAAAGGTTTGTTTTGATGGCACACAAGTATAAGTGGTTTCTCTAAGCCAATACCCAATTACCCAAGTAAAATCCATCTTTCCAGAGCTAATTCCCATTCTGAAACCATAAATGTCCATTACTTGTAATACATGTTTTAATTCTATTATGCCAGTATCACCCGAAAGAAAATAGTTTGACACCAGTCAACAAATAATAAGATGCAATAAAATAATTTTTAAACTGCATTAAAATAATTACTAACTTTTCGGAGCTTCGGTTGAGTATATAATACAGACAGAAGCATTACGCACAATACCATACCGAGCAATCCGCCCGTGCCAAAGTTCAAATCTATTTCTGGATTGGGTCTCAAAAGAATTGGATTGCCCATTATTACATGAGAGGATAACTCTAATGCTGCTTAACGAAAGAGGCAAAAATGCTAAAAGAGGCAGAGGTGTCACCAAAGAAATTTTCCTCCGGATTTTCTACTGGATTACGTATTGCCTTCTGGTTTTGAAGTTAGGTGGAACAAGGGAACCGTGCCAAATGGTGCTATAAATCAGGATCGAGTGAGTACACAACTATTACACCGATTTAGATTTAATTGTTTGTTTGTTTATTTGTATGTAGCCCTGTTCTTAACATGTTGAACTCCTGCCCTTCCATACATGGACTACGGTCCTTGAAGCCTGCGGCTGGTCTTCCTTCCATTAATGGGCGCGCAGCTCCCGATGGCGTGCAGGGTGACCAAATAAGGAGATAAGGCCCGTAGTGCCGCTACTAGCGCTAT